CTTGATATTATTTAAGGGCATCAGAGACTTCCCCATGGTACTAATGGAAAAGCAAAATCAGTGAACCAAATTCCACCCAGTGTCAGAAAGGTTCAAACCAGAGCCACTTCATCTTGAATAGGGGCTGGGTAAAATGAGGCTGAGACCTGCTGGTCTGCATTCCCAGAAAGTTAGGCATTCTTAGTCACAGGAAGTTTATGGTTAAGGGAACAGGTTAATAATGTTTACTGAACAGACCCAGGACTTACTGGATCCAGAACTTAACAGACCGAGGAAATGCCCTGATGCTCCTGTATCTTAAGAACAAAAGCATTCTTAGTGTAAGAATACGTTTCACTTTAATGATAATAATATAGATTTTTGCAGTAGACAGTACTTACACAAAGATTAACAATCCTTTGTCACGAGCCTTTGTAGTAGAGCACATCTCTCCATGATTTTTTGCTTCGTTATCTTATATGTAAACAAGCATTGTACCTAAGGTGGATGTGTTCCTCCTCTTGCTTTCAGGAACATTGTTCTCTGTCTATGAGTAGCCATTCTTGCATTCCTTTACTTTCTTAATAAATTTGCTTTCACTTCACTCAGGACTCACCTTGGATTCTTTCTTGGTCAAGATCCAAGAACCTTCCCTTGGGATCTGAATTGGGACCGCTTTTCAGTAACACTAGTGCAGAGTGAAAGAAATGCAGGAGTCTAGACTCGGAAATGGAGATAGTGCAATTGGGGCGGGGGAGGGCGTGCCCCAGTATGAATGAATCTATGGGTTTAGACCAGGGGAGTCCAATCATTTGGCTCCCGTGGTTCTCGTTTGAAGAAGAATTGTCTTGGGCCACACATAAAATATACTAACACTAGTAATAGCTGATGAGCTATTTTTTTTAAAGGTCCATGCATAAATCTCATGTTTTAGGAAAGTTTACGAATTTGTGTTGGGCCACATTCAAAACTGTCCTGGGCTGCATGTGGCCCATGGATTGCAAGATAGACAAGCTTGCTTTAGATTGTTTCTAAAACAGAAGCATATATTTGAAGCCATCAAAACCACCCACCCCCATTTGAGCTGCCAGATGACTCAAGCTGCACGAGTGACTCCAGACTAGACCAACAGAAGAATTGCTTAGTTAAGTACAGTTCAAATGGTTTTTCCACTGAATCATGAGTACATAAAATGGTTATTGTCTTCAATGACTGAGTCTGTGGTGGTTGGTTATGCAGAAATAAATAATTAATATAGTAACTTAAGCAACAACCAGTGATTACTTAATAAGGGAAGACATTGACATTTCAAAAATATTTGAAAGATTATTTAGCCCTGGTTAAAATATCTCAAGTTTTTATCGTAAACTCTTTGTTGCAGGTAGGTCCACTGTGCATCAGATATGTCTCTTAAACTCCTTTCTTCTGTGCCATTGCTTATGCAGCCCCTAAGCTTGGGATGCCTCCTCTGCTCCTCTCAGCCTGACTACAGAAAGCTGCTCTCCAAAATAAACCTCCTCCATGTTTGCCTTGCAAACATTATTATTAAGATGAGCCTGGTTCTCAATAATTTCTTCAGTCACTAAACCCATATAACCATAATGAAATTCACTTATTTGGCACTATATCAACCAATTCGAAAGTCTTATCTCCCAGGTGGACTATAAGCTTCTTGAAGGAAATATGCCTGCACCTAGTATGGTATCTGTGACATGGCTCAAGATGTGTGACAACCCACTCACTAAAGTAGGTGACTTTGTCTTTGCCTACTCTGCTCTGAGTTAACACATGGCAGGAGGGGAAGAATCAGAATATGATGAAAGCTTCTAAGGACTTGGATCTTAGCTCTTTAAATGTGAAACTGTTGACTTTTTTATGACCCGTCACTTTTTAGTTCCAAATATATTTAAAAAATATGGAAACATACCAGGAGAGTGTTATCCTCAGAGTCATTGCTGAGTATTGTTGCTGTGGATGTGGTTGCAGGAGTTATAGTGGGATTCACACAGAAGGTGGCAGGGGCACTTCCCCATGGCAACAAAGTGAGTAAACACAGAAGTCTTTCAATACATTCGTGGTACTAGGTTCCACCGAATGAGCCTCATCTCCACTTCCTTGTGTTTCTTTCTGTTCTTCCTCTTTACAGCACACTTGGGAGGCAGATTGAACTTCTGGTCCTCATTTTAGTCAATAAGGTCAACCCTACACAGAAGGATTTCCTTTCAATTTAGTGATTCTGATTTTTGAACTTCAAGAAGGTCAAGTTTTAGAGATATTACATTTCTGGTGGATGCGCCTTTATTCTTGATGATAATTTTAAATCTCACTCCCTAAGGGAGAATGACTGGCAGCTATCAACAGGAACTATAAGAAGATCTAAGCCACACAAGCATAAAAATGTAACAGAAGTGTCAGCTCAAGTTTTTCTCTATGGAATGTAATGCAAAACCCAGAAACATTTACAGAGTTGACCTAGGAGAGAATCTGAAAACAAAGACAGAATTTCCTGGGACTGTTTTAACCTAGAGATTGAAATGGATGCCTCTTGAAATAAATACTAAAGGATCTCCTTTCATACTTTCTTGGTTTCAAGTTCAAGGGTTCAAGGGTAGTGTGCTTCTTCACTCTATTTCTAATTCATTTTAGAATTTGAGTCACCCAGAAGAACTTAGGTACCAAATGACCTGGAGTATAAGCATGCCACTTATGTGACAGAGATTTTAAAGGAAAATAATCAAGCACATGTCTCCTATTTCAAGGCTCTGATTTGGCTAGATATGTGAAGCAACTTGCTCAATTTCTTCACTAGTAGTGACAATCATTATTATAAACAACCTGGCACAGGCTACATTCTTACTTTGTACTAAGCACATTTTGCTAAGTGCTTTAAAAACAAAATTTACAATTCAAATAGCTCAGCAATATTGACATTATTCTTAATTTGCAAGTGCAGATGCGAGCCTTAACTAATAACGGATTGGTACTGAAGTAAGAAAGATCATCTTATTTGCCTTGAGGTAGGACCAACTGTGATTATAATTTATACTCTAGAGCTTCCTTTGGGATCAAGCTGAGATTGGAATTCACATTCATTCTCCTTCCTTGCTTTGGTTCTTTCCTTTCTATTAGCTTCCCTCACTATTTCTGAGAGCAATTCCTTAATAAATCATTTGCTCATGAATCTTCATCGCAGAGGTGATTTACTTAAGACACTAGTCCAGAAGGATGTTCTTATTTATTATAGGACTAAAGAAAGGTCAATGATACAACTTGTTCAAAATCACAAGGTTAGTAAAGATGGGAGCCCACATTTGAACTCATGTCTGGCTCCTTCTCAAAGTCATATTGCAGACTTCACCTTACATTTTCTCTCTTAAACTGAAGAGGACACAGCAACTAAGGTATAACTCAACAGATAACTTGATAGTGTCATTACCCTGATCATGCCCACCTCACTCTCAGCCTCCTCTAACTCAAGAACAACTGTCTCTTCATAGATGTTGAAGATATTGAGGTTCTCCAATACTGAGATATTGAGGACAGGAAGCAAACCTCCCTCCCCTGCTAGTCCATTGATGTAGCCTGAGAAGTTTTGTTTTCCTCAGTTTTTATCTCTCAATTTGAGAAATGCTTTAGACATGGTCGCAATTTGAGAAGGGAGGGATATGGATTAAAGGCAGATATAAGAGGACAACTAGATGCTATTCGAAAATGTAGACTATAAAATAAAGCCATTTGTTCTCTGAACTCCGGACTTTGTATGTCGGGAGTGCACAACTTTGCAGGCCAGTTGCATTCATTTCACTGACTCAATCTATTTTGTAAAACATCTCCAGTTCCATGACTATGACCTGATCTAAAACCTGACCTAACTGTGGTACCAAAGCAATTTGGGTTTTTTTTTGGTTTTGTTTTGGTTTTTTTTGTTTGTTTGTTTTTTCCCAATACCTGCCTCAATGCCTTATTTCCAAACTGTACAGGAAGCAGTCTTATCACTTTTTACTAATTAATCATAAAAGTATCCGATTTTTCCTTATGAGTGGACTACATACACATGTTATTTGTATGGAGGTAGCTCCTATAAGCTTTAATCATTAGACAAATATTGATATATTATTGTTTATCTTAAGATGATTCATTATACAATTTACAGATACACAATATATGCACAAGATAAACAATAAAAGTATTTGTTTCAGCTAGAGTTGCCTAGAAAAAGTCAGAGACCAAGATTGCAAGAGGTGCGACAGAGGGTGAAGACAAAGGAAAGAGAGGCAGAGAAGAGTGGAAAACAAGGTCAGAGGATATTATACTAGTCATTGTTTCATGATGACCTGTGCATAGATAACAGTCGGTTGTCTGGCAGGAGCTTAGCCCCATGTGATGTTTCCGGACAGGTGTTGTAAAAACATTGCCCATGGAGCAGTTCATGAAAAGAAATATGATGAGGACATTTATTTATTTACTTGCCTGATCCCTCCTGTGTCCTATTTTCTACTACTCAAAGGTGATGTCCTAGTGGATTGCCTCTTAGCACTTCCAGTTTTGTATCATGTAATATTTAGCAGCTTCTCTTATAAAGACAGATACTGGGTTCCTAAGCATTGGCATTTATGTTAGTCAGATCCCGTAGGATGAACCAGAAACTCAGCTGTGTGGTAAACCTGACATTCCTGCAGGAAGCAACTGGTGACCCGGCTGCACAGGTCCAGTCACTGTTGGTCATTGCCCAGCATCTAAGAGCATGGGACTAAGAATCTAGAGAAGTTGGCACCACTCTTTCTTGGACCTTCTGCCACCAGGAGAACAAGCATGAAGGAGCCCGTTGAAGGTTGAGAGATGATGTGGAGCACAGATGAACCCTCCCAGCTGAGGCCATCCTTGACCAATGCTATGGTTTGAATGTTTGTGTCTCCTCCAAATTCACATGTTGAAATCCTAACATTCAATGTGATGGTTTTTAGGAGGTGAGGCCTTTGGGAAGTGATTAGGCCATGAGGGTGGGACCCTTATAAATAAGATTAGTGCCCTCATATAAGAGAACCCCAAAACTCCCTGTCCCTTCCACCATGTGAGGACACAGTAGGAAATTGGCTGCCTGCAAACAGGAAAAGGCCCCTCAATGGAAACTGACCATGCTGGCATGCTGTTCTCAAACCTAGCCTGCAGAACTATGAGAAATAAATTTCCATGGTTTTAAGCCACCCAGTCAATGGTATTTTGTTACAGCAGCATGAATAAGACAATCAGCCAGATCTGATTTATCAACCAACTCACCTAAGATACATAAGCAAGGTAGCCAGAGCCAGTCAAGACCAGGCCAGATGTGTAGGTCTTCCCAGCCAATCCACAGATACATAAACAAGAAGGCGTGTTTATTATTGTAAAGCACAGAGGTTTTGTGCATGTTTTTAAGCAGCATTATTGTGGCCATAGATTACCAATCAAAAGCTTAACAACAATCCTACAGGGTAGACATGACTTTTTTTGTTTAAATGTCAACCAATATGAAAGCAGAAGAGGTTAAACGATTTGGCCAAGATCTCACATTACACATTCGATTGGAACCCAGGGATATCTAATTCCATGGTTTTAATTCTATAATTTACGGATTAATTTTCCTTAGATCCTTGATACTTATTCTTTATTGACTAGTGACTTTTAGTGGATAATTTGATCATGTTGTCTTCCTCCTTAAGGTACTATATCTTGTTTAAATTTTATGTTTGCAGAGCCTGGAGTTTTGTAATTAAGTAAATATTAAGGATATGGAACATAAAGTAGAGAGAATGTATCAGAAAAAGCTACAGATAAAATACACTAAAGGAAAGACACGTAAGTACATATTTTTACCGTAAGGGAGAGAAGACAGGTGAGGCTTGGGGTGGAGTGACCTGTACAGTGAGCCCATAAGGGGATTGCTGGTTTCCTAGGTAGCTTGAGCATGATGCATGCATAGATCTTTGTGGTTCAGGATTATTATTATTATTATTATGATTATTATGTTTTGAGATGGAGTCTTGCTCTGTTGCCCCTCAGCCTCCCAAGTAGCTGGGACTACAGGCGCCCACTTTGCATAGATCTTGCATAGATCTTTGTGGTTCAGGATTATTATTATTATTATTATTATTATGTTTTGAGATGGAGTCTTGCTCTGTTGCCCCTCAGCCTCCCAAGTAGCTGGGACTACAGGCGCCCACCACCATGCCTGGCTAATTTTTTTTTTTTTTTTTGTATTTTTAGTAGAGATGGGTTTCACCATGTTAGCCAGGATGGTCTTGATCTCTTGACCTCATTATCCGCCCGCCTCGGCCTCAGGAATTTATAACTTATTTTTAGAAAAACTGAATCTCTGATTTGCTTTGTCTATTTTTTGAAAGATGTAATCATAGATGAGTTGGATGGGTGTGGCTTATGGAATCAGTTTCATGCATTCATTTAAAGCCATACCCTATAAACTACTGCTGCCAGAGTGAAGACCTGGTATCTATATTCAATCAGGGGTTCTCTGCCCTATTTATCCAGCTGGATTTGAAAATCAAAGCAAACTACATGTAAGGGTGAGGCCAGTCAGAAAGACTGGACTTTCTGAGGTGCCAGGGTTTATACATTTGCCCCATCATTGCGATAGGGAGAGATGGTCCTCATTCCCATTAGTGTTAATGGAGCCAATCATATGAATCCACCACATATCAATGTGTATCCTCTCATGTTTTGATATCTTAATGCACAAAATTACATCTCAAGGGAAAGGCTTGTCTCCTCTTAAGTGCTCTAAATTCCCATTAATACTAATGGAACAAAGATACATGCACTCACTGATGCTCAGAAAAGTGGGCAAAATATAGGAGATGATTAGGTTTTAGGAGTGCTGTAAGAGATTCACGGAAGCTGCAGGGATTGTCTAAAATGATCCATCTTTTCAGGCTTATTTAAGCAATTTCATTATACAGAGCCAATTTTTTTTTCTCAGAATCATCAACAGATAATTGGCCACATTCTGCTCTCCAGGAGGAAGAAGTTGAGTCAATATATGTTTGAGAACACCCTAATATCCTTTGGGACGTTGGGTGTATTTATAAAAAGGAGAGTGGAGAGTGTTCTAGAAGAACCCCAGATTTTTCCAAGAGAGCACACAGAGGTAGGTCAGCCCAGAGGAAGGAGGAGAAGCAGAGAGTGTGGGGGCTTCTTTTAGCGGGTTTCTCCAGGCAGCAGGAAGAACTGACACAATCTCTGCAGGCTGCTCTGTGCTGGAGAAGTGCAGTGTGAGCTAGTAAACTGCCCATTATTCCTCTGCCTGCACTTTCTTTTAAAAGATGCTGTTTTAACTTATAGGATATGCAAGATAAGCAATGCTGGCCTTACCCTACCCCTTCACTTTGTAGAGAGGGTAACTGATGCAGGTTCTTGTATGGTCTGAAGTTATTAAAGAGATAAAATTATACAACTTAGAGATAAGGCTATGTGAGCAGAATACAAATGGACTTGAGAATAAGCCAACCTTTATTTGACCTCTCAACAAGTTTGGCTGGTTTTTCTCCTATTGAATTAGAATTGTGTCCTTTTAGCAATCTTCTGTAGTTTAAAGAAGAGGCTTGTCTGGATCAGCCACACCTGCAGGCAGCCTCAGATCATCACTCGTTGGTGGGATTGGAGAGGTGCTGGGAGGGTTCCCTAAGTGAAGTGATTTAAATCCAGGGACCATAGTGTCCAAAACTCTTATCAGAATTAGTTTTTGGCTGAAGCCTTACTTTTTTGAGTGTGTTTTAAATGTAGAACAAAAGAATGTTGTGAGAAATAAAATATCATTACATCCTGTTATTAATACCTTTGACAGAATAATTTCACCAGAAAGTACCTGCACATAATTCAGAGGACAAGGGTGCTTCAAGGGGAAGGAGAAAGTGAAGAGAAGAAATAGAAGATAGAAAGAAATCAAGATAAGCTTTGCCTACAGTGTCTTTACAGACTTTGAGAGGGTGGAAAGAGTAAATGTAACATGGAGCTGGGTGCACACTATGGGAGGTATGCTTCCTATACACTGTCTTCCTTACCTTTTTAAGGGTGAGTGTTACAGATCTACTCTGATATCCTGATAAAAGCTACAGACCTTCTTGTCAAAAAAAAAAAAATGCATACACACACACACACACATACTTGGTTTCAGGGAATTTGGGGTGTTCACAGGTTCCTTGATGTCCATTCACAGACCCCACTTCAGGGAAACAGCCTAACATGTAGAAGAGTTCAAGATCAGAACTAGGATGGTAAGGGATATTACATTACAAAGAACAATGGTCTTGGGTCTCTTATTTCTAACAATCTCATAGGGAATAAGAAGATTTTGGTAAAAGTGAACATTTATTGAAGATTTTTGCACTTTCACTGATATGTAATGTTTATACATATTTCTGGGCTACATGTCATATTTTGTTACATATATAAAATGTGTAATGATCAAGTTACAGTATTAGGGTATCTATCACCTTGTGTATTTATCATTTCTATGTGATGGAAACATTTCAAGTCCTCTCTTCTAACTGTTTTGAAATATACAATACATTGTTGTTAATTATAGCCACCCTACTCTGCTATTAAATATTAAAACTTATTCCTCCTATCTAACTGTATGTATATGCTCATTAACCAATCTCTCATCATTCCCACACCCTGCTACTTGAACCGTCCCAGTCTCTGGTATCTACTATTCTATTCTCTACCTCCATAAGATCAACTTTTTTTTTTTTTTTTTTTTTATCTCCTACATATGAATGAGAACTTACAATATTTGTCTTTCTGTACCTGGCTTATTTCACTTAACATAATGACCTGCAATTCCAACCATGTAGTTGCATATGAGATGATTTTATTTGTTCATGTTTTTACTTTTCTAGTTCCTTGAGGTATATTGTTAAAGTTTTTATCTGAAATCTTTTTTTTTTCTTTTGAGACAGAGTCTCGCTCTGTCCCCCAGGCTGCAGTGCAGTGGCGCGATCTCAGCTCACTGCAAGCTCCGTCTCCTGGGTTCACGCCATTCTCCTGCCTCAGCCTCCCGAGTAGCTGGGACTACAGGCGCCGGCCACCGCGCCCGGCTAATTTTTTGTATTTTAAGTAGAGACGGGGTTTCACCGTGGTCTCGATCTCCTGACCTTGTGATCCGCCCGCCTCGGCCTCCCAAAGTGCTGGGATTACAGGCTTGAGCCACCGCGCCCGGCTATCTGAAATCTTTCTGCTTTTTAAATATGAGCCTTTTTTGCTACAAACTTCCTTCTTAACACTGCCTTTGCTGTATCTCATTGGTTTTAGTATGTTGTATTTCAATCTTCACTGGTTTCAAGAAACTTTTTCATTCTCTCCTTAATTTCTTCCTTGACCCAATGTCATTCAGGAACATGGTGATAAATTTCCATGTATTTATACTATTTCTAAAGTTCCTCTTGTTATTTATTCCATTGCACTCTGACAAGATATCTGAAATAATTTCAATTTTAAAAAAATGTTGGGATTTCTTTGTGTCCTAACATATGGTCTATCCTGAAGAATATTCCATATGCTGATGAGAAGAATGTGTGTTCTGTAGCTGTTTGATGAGATGTTCTGTAAATGTCTGTTAGGTTCATTTAATCTCAAGTGAAATTTAATCCATTTTTTGTTGTTATTAATTTTCTGTCTAGATGATCTGTCTATTGCTGACTGTGGAGTGTTGAAGTCCACAACTACTATCATGTTGGAGTCTATCTATCCCTTTAATCTAATAATATTTGCTTTGTCTGTCTGTGTGCTCCAATGTTGCTGCATATATGTTTAGAATTGTTATATCCTCTTGCTGAATCAATACTACTATCATTACATAATGACCTTCTTTTTTTTAATGTAAAGTCTGTTTTATCTGATATAAGTGTAGCTAGTCCTGCTTGCTGTTGGTTTCCATTTGCATGAAATATCTTTTTCCATTTCTTTACTTTCAGACTATGTATCTCTTCATAGGTAAGGTGAGTTTGTTATAGACAGCATACAGTTGTGTCTTGTTTTCTTTTTAAATTTATTCAGCCAGTTTATATATTTTAAATGGAAAGTTTAATCAATTTACATTCAGGGTTACTATTGATATCTGAGCATTTATTTCCATCATTTTATTAATTGATTTCTGGTTGTCTTCTATATTCTTGTTTCTTTTCTCTCTTATGGTTTATCATTGTGGTTTTGTGGTTTTCTGTACACTGGTTATATTCAAGTTATTTCTCTTCCTCATTTATGCACTTGCTCTACCAATGGGTTTTATACTTCTGTGTGTTTACATGATGGTAGATATTATTCCTTTCACTTCCAGGTGTAGAACTTTCTTAAGCATTTCTTATGGGACCAGTCAAGTGGTCATGAATTTCCTCAGGTTTTACTTGTTTGGAAAAGGCTTAATTTCTCCTTCATTTATAGAGAATAACCTTGCTGAGTATAGTGTCCGTCATTGACACGGTTTTTTTTTTTTTTTTTTCTTTCAGCACTGTAAATCTATCATCTTATTGTCTCTTGACCTACAAAGTTTCTTCTGAGAAATCAGCTGTTAGTCTGATGGGTGTTCACTCAGTAATGACTAGATGCTCTTCTTTTGCTGTTTTTAGAATTATGTCTTAACCTTTGACTTTTGACAGGTTGACTTTAATGGGTCATAGAGAAGATTTTTTGAATTTTATCTATTTAGGGATCTCTGGGCTTTCCCATATCTAGATGTCTGTATTTCTTGATAGACTTGGGAAATTTTCAGCTATTGTTTTGTTAAATAGGGTTTTTTTTACCCCCTTTGGTTTTGTCTGAACTTTCTAAGACACCAAATAGTGAATATTTGGTCTCTTTATGGTGTCCGATATGTAATGTAGGCTTTGCTCTTTATTAATTTTTATTTATTTTTGTTTGTGTTTTTCAAAATTTTCAAGTTCTGAAATTTCTTCTTCTGCTTGATCTAGTCTATTGTCGAAGTTCTCACATTTGCTTTTCAATTTATTCAATAAATTATTCAATTCCAGTTTTTCTATTCGGTTCTTTTACATACATATCTCTTTGGTGAATTTCTCATTAATATCTTGAATTGTTTTTCTGATTTCTTTGCATTATTTGTGTTCTCTTGTATCTCACTAAGCTTCTTTAATGTCATTGTTTTGATGTTTTTCTGGCGTTTCATAAGTTTATTTTTATTAACATCAGCTGTTGAAGAATTATTGTGTTTGGGGGGAGGTGCCGTAATTCCCTGCCTTTTCATGTTTTTTGTGCCCTTACTTTGATATGTGTACCTCTGGTGTAACAGACACTTCTTCCAAATGTTCGTATTTGCTTTCATATATTATGATATTTTTCCCTGAAGATCTCTCTATGGCGGTGTTTGGTTAGGTCAGTTTGGCTGTGAATCTGGGTACTTGCCGTACTGTAGTCTCTATATAATTTATTTTGCTGTAAACAGTATTAGTAGTATCTGTGATTTCCTCACTGGCCTGGAGTATGGTTGCTAGTAAAGGCCGTAGTGAAGTTTTATCAGGGATGGGGATACCCATAAGGGCTGGTTCTTGGGCCCCAGTGGTGGAAGCAGTGGGCGAAGCATGCCTGTCCTTGGGCCCCAGAGCAGCATATGCTGACACCAGTATTAGTGGATCCAGAAAGGCCAAATCTCAGGCCTTTGGGCAGCCTACTCAGGTTTTGGCTGTAGCAGTGGAGGGCTGGGGTTTGGGTGGATCCTTAGACCCTGGGAAACAATGGCGGTAGTGGGACAATCCTCTGGCTCCCAAGCAGTTTATGCTAATATTGGTGGTATCTGCAATGGGCTGGGCAGGCCAGTTCCCAGGCCTCAGGTGGTGTGTGCCTCAGGTAGGAGGAAGTTCTTCAGATGTTAGCAAATACTGATTCCTCAAACAAATATACTTGATTTGAAGTGGGTGGCAGCTGTGGGAGTAGTAACAGTTTAAGTGGACTCATCCTCTGGCCCCTGAGAAGAGTACTCAGGGACCAACCAGTGGTGGATGGAGCAATGCAGTCTCTAGGATGCCAAATAGTATGCTTGGGTGCAGGAGAGATAAAATCAGAATGAGTCGGCCTGTCTCAGCATCCCCCCCCCAACCAAAGCTGTGCATGTGGGCACTGGCTGTGGTGGGCAGGGGTAGGGTGATCCCAGCCACCCCAGCAGAGTGCTCAGTGGGGATGGCAGTGACTGTGCTATGGCCTTGCTAGTGGGGAGGGCAGGGTTGCTTTCAGTTGCAGCAGCTGTAGGCTGGGGGCTGGGTACCACTCACTTTGGCTCTGGGTGGTAGATGTAGGTATGGGAGCCTGTCCTCAGGATGCTTTTAAATGCTCAGCAGCCTCTCTGCTGGGAGTATAGGATCGTTGCTAACAAGTCATGCTTCAGCCTTGGTGGCAGCAGCCAGCAGTGGTGGTGGCTGTGGGTGGGGGATGTTAATGGGACCCCAGGGATATGGAGATGCAGGTGCTGTTTGGCCATCTGAGGCAGGCCAGGCTTCCAAAATGGTGCTGTGCTGTAGCTACGTAGGACTTTGGACATGTGTGGGACCCACTGTGAGCTCCCTCCATGAGCAATGCTGTCTCAGTCTCCAGGAAGCTTCCTATGTTAGTCTCAGGGCCTGTGGAGGTCAAGTGGCTCTGCAGTAGCTAAGATTGGAGAATCTGGAGAATCCCTAGTGAGAACATGGGTCACTGGGGGTCTCTCTTTTATCTGTTTTCGGCATGGGAAGCCTCCCTAGGCTCCAAGCCAGCTCCAGATGAGCAGGCTGCCTTACTTCCCTCTCCTTCTTGGCCTTATGTGTTTCCTGTCATTTCTAGGTTGAATTCCAGCGTTCTGTCTTAGCTAATCTATTCAAAGTGTGATTACCTATTTGCTAATTTGGTTTTACTTTGTGGAGGAAGCAAGTACCACATGCCTCTACTCAGGCATCTTGAAGCCCCTTTCTGAATGGACATTCTTGGGGCTCATGGAAATACTAAAATTTGCTGATACAAATTGCAGTGGTATGTGTTCCAAGTGTTGCATAAATAAATAAGTGTGAGAAAGAATGAATTTTAAGTTGGTAGACCTATATAGTCATGTGCACAGAATGGTTTTGCATATTATTTAAGCATTCTGTCCTACCCCTTTATTGAGCTCTCTCTCTCTCTCTCTCTCTCTCTGTCTCAGACTTCTTCCATAGGTGTAGTGGTACTATATATTGGAATCAGGAAAGAATTAAGCAGGAAAGAATTAATAGAGCCTTAGCAGCATTCCATCATTGAGACACCAACTACTTCTCTTTGTTTACCAGCCTCTTAATTGCTGTGGTTTCCTAACAAAAGCCTACCATGTTGGAATAGTGCCCTATTCCAGAATATCTATCATTCTTGTTCCTAATTTTTTTTTTTACCAGCAAATAACACACTCAGTATTATATTTATAGGGGCAGGAACAGCAGGCAACTATTTTTAAAGCTTTTGAAAAACAAAATGCAAACACTGAATTTCATGGGATTCAGAAGGAAAAAAGACAACTTTTTCATATGGGGTAT